TTTTTGTTATTTAATTGGAAGTCTTAAGTATTTAGCAACTGACAATTATTAATCAACATCAGTTACTGCTGCAAACAGAAATGGACTCGATATTGTGTTGCAACTGCGTATTTCTACTTGCAGCGAACCAAAGGGCATACTTTAAATGTTAATTAATTGATATCAGGTATTTTTTTATATTATAATTACACCTTATCTGCGTTTTTGTGTCAAGTTGAATTACTATGTATTTAGTGGGACTTCTGTGTGAAACTCCAGGTTCGCAAAATAAACACAAATCGTTTGTCTGCAATTAATTTTTACGATAAGAAATCATTAGATTAGATATTTAGTGTGCGCCTACGTTAAAAATACATTCGACTAGTGAACAATATTTTTCATAAAACAATGTTTTTATAATTACAACGAATATGAACGTACTTCGTTTGACGATTAACGTATCAATGGAAGAAAATACAGCATTCGTTCTTGTAGGACAAACTGGCGCATCATTCGAAGATGGAATTGAAGAACGCAAAAGCAATTTTGAAAGTAAAAGTGTTAAATTGATGTATGTAGAACATTTGATGGTAGTTTTAATTATTTATTATTTCTTATAATCGAGTGCCTAGTAGGTATTACATGCACCTCCTTAGAAAAATGAGAAACCGCCAAGTTGTACAAAGTTTTCCTATAATGTTTTTTAGTTTTGTAAAAGTTTTCTTGCTCTTGTAAAGCAAAGTATTTCGTGCGTACAACATTGCAGGAGGCTTGGAAGTATTGCAAATATGTACTTTTGCATTTGAATAGAATTCGCACAGGAAGGTGGGCAATCCAAGTCAGTGAGATATACAGTAATAGATACTTGTAGGCTTGAGATTATGAATCGATGTCTACTTTAATTACTGCAAAATTATCAGGAGACTAGGTTTACGTCATTGGCGTAGTCAGTACCTTCATAGGGCTTAGGTTAGGTTGGAATCGGTTAGGGTTAGACCAGGTTGCAGTTCAATGATGATTTCGAGATTCTTCTTGTGTCGATTTGCATATCGAAATTTTGAGTTACAAGTCGAAGTTTCAAAAAAAAAAAACAATGCTTGACCTTTCTACGTCTTCGCACTTCTTGCCTATAAAATCGCACCTAAAAAATTTTGTATGCCGTTGAGTAATTGGTACCTCTGTATTCATTAAATTTCTAACTAAGTTAAGTAAACAAAGAAACTGGCCAAGTTTACTTTATTTGCCATTTATACTAGCTGACTATAAAATTTCTAAATTTAACAGTTTGTTTATAAATTGTCCATATTTTGGAAGCCATCAAATTCTACGCAATGGTATCTAGGTAATTAAATGTTACAAGTACATATGTAGGGATACTCTTTAATTTACTTGGTTAAATTGCTGTAAGGCTTGAGGTTAATTGTCATATTTATTACAGCAACATTCAAAAACTGTTGTAACTATATGTATAAGTTCAACAAAAAGTTAAGGTTAGTTATCAAATAACTTATAACTGTATTATTAAATTTTCAATGTATTTTGCTTGACTTTAATTCCCAATTCATTCATTAATAACATATTTATGATAGTTGATATTTTTATGAAGCTATATTTGCGCTAAATGGATATTTTTAAATTGTATAATTAAATATGTGCGTACAACTTTTACAGCTGATTGCTTTCCTCTGTGTAAATAACACAGCAAAGCATAAATATTACATTTGCTATCGTTATTGGCAATTTTTGTTTTGAAAATATTGGTATCTCGTAGTTGATAATTTGTCAAGTACCAATTGTGATTGCTTTCCACCAACAGACTGTCCCATTTTGTGATTAAATTTCAAACTTTTCATTACTTCATTATCATTTTGAATGTCTTTTGTAAATGTTAATTTCTTTTTGTAATTAGTTTTTACACTCATTTTCTGTTTTAAAAATACCAAATGCAAATTAGTATCCAAGCTAACGTAAAGGTCAAACTGTGGTTAGTTTGGATCGTTCTGATTAGTCTCTAGATTAATTAATTTAAAAAGCTTAATCTTTGACCTTGGCCTAAAATGCTTCTAATTTCGGATTTTTTAAAATTCTTTTCTGGTCACTTTATTGGAGTAACTTCACAGTTCAAATGTTTTATACTGGTTTGAACACTGTTAGGTATTTACCTTTAGATGATTAAAAATAAGGGACATGTTAAGTATTTACCTCACTATAAAGTAAATTTTGAGGTAATAAATATAGTGTTCAAATATTACTCAGGGTTTTGTACCTGTTGCAACATACCTGTAGGTAAACAATTTGAAAGTGAATAAGTAGCAGCCTTTATTTTGTTGAACTTATATTTCAATCAGTGATCATTCTGTAAACGAATTAAAAAGGCTAGAGGTACGCATTTGTCAATACTGTCTCAAGGCCTAATTGTTCGGTTTGAATACTTTCGATTGGTTTGTTGTGTACCAGTTTCTTCAAACATTGCAAAAGATACTTTTGAATTTTGATAATAATTGACGGTTGTAGATTATACCGAAGTGCCAAAATATCAAGAATGATTTGTTAAGTCTAATCAAAAAATAAAATTTACTTTTGATACTTAAATATTATATATAAAAGAAATTATGAGTGCTGTCAGCACAGGGCAAAATAGTAGTACGTAGTTAGTATCAGCAATTTCTTATGCTGAAGTGTACTATGTGTTGCATACCTATTTACAAACAATTCCTTTAAATTTAACTTTTCAAACAATTTTTACCCCAAAGAAAGTGATTAAACAAATTGTTCACAAAAGTGAAGCAATGGTGATAACAGTTTCGAGCTCACAATGACTGATAGGGGGGAAGAATTTGTACTAATAAATAATATGGTTTAATTCATCATCTGCAAAAGTTATAAATTGAAGAAAACGACAATAAAAGTGTTTTTTGAACAATTATTTCATGACTGTGCTACACTTCAAAGCAACAGTGTTATGGAAGAGCACAATTTTTAACATTTTTTGTGATTAATTATTGTTAATGCCAAATACAATTATACCTAATATGTATCCAAAATCGCCATAAGCATTTTTGGTTCTTAAATAACCTGCTTTAAAGAATAGGATCGTTCGAATTTAGAAAGGATGTCAAAGACATTTTCAAATAGTAATAATATTGACTTCAGGCCATTCGCAGTTATTGTATTTGTTTGAAAGGGTTCTAATAATAAAGGTTCCCATATCATTTCTTGCCGCACCCATGTTGGCTTTCATTTTAATTTTATACGGTTGTCGGAACTGCGAATAGGTCAACTAGAGTTCGCTCTAAATTTGACTATAATATTAACAATCTCTTTCTAAAAATAATGAAGGTATTTGGTAACTAGATTTTTACTCATTTACGCGAATATTTATTAATAACCTTCACAGTTATAATATTGACACTACAAATTAGTCAATATTTATTTATCATAAGCTAATTAGTGAATGTAAAATACTAATTGTATCAGTCAAATTAGTAAAAAATAAATAAACAAATTCAGAACGGAAAAAAGCACAAAATTATAATGGAATAGAACCCAAATTAGATGAAATCAAAATTTCCATTAGATAAAAAAATGATATTTTAAATTCTGATAATTATTCTAATTTTGTTTGGTAAAGACTTGAAACTGTATTACTGAAGTTCGTCCTGCATTATGTAGATGGAAACCATCGCAAAAATAGACCTAAACCGATTTAAAATGTAAACAAACTTGTCACGATAATTTTTAGCGAAGTTTATGTATACAAAAGTCATGCAAAAAAGGCCTGTGCTCGCTATTTCAAACAAACAACTAATCAGCAAAACTGAATCAGTGATGCAACCCGTTTGGTTTGATAGATGGATTTTTTCTTAGGAAATAGGATGTGGTAACCCAGATTTTATAAATAAACTAATCTCTTTTCGTAATCCGCGATAAATATTATTAATAAGAAACAAGATGCGTCATTTTTGATGAAATCAAATTCAATATTTTATTTATCGTAATATTTGAGATCGAAAATAACAGAATTGAGACGCAGTTTCTGAATCCTCTATATATTTCACATTTCTTACAAATACGTAAGTTTTTCTGTAGTTTATTTTATGTTAAGATACTTAGTAATAGTCATTTGATAATGCTTACCATTTATAAGACACAACACGTACGGTTTCTTGACGGCAGCGTGTATTTAGTATGCATCTTATTGAGAACTCACGTACATATAGCTAATTTACGCAGCCAAGGTACTATTGATTTGACTAACAAATTTTTCCTAGAAATGTTCATAAAATCCGAATTCCTTAGAGCTGTACAGTTATTTTTGTGTAACTTTAATGATTATAAATCAAGGAAGGCTGTTAGGTTACAGAATATTATCTCGTCCCTTTTTTTTGTTTTTAAATACCTCCAAAAACGGCGCCATTAGAATGCTTGGGAAATTCTAAGAAACATTTTCCTTTAAAGTTTTTTACTCGGATGTCTCCCTGTAGAGGAATTGAGACTTAAAGATAGTAATTGATAGCCGATCAGAACGTACTTTGTTCGCTGCAAATAGGCGGGTCACTGGTAGCAGTTGTTTCGCCTAATGCGTACTTCTATTTGCAGCGGGTGACGTTTCCGTTTTTAAATAATAAATAACTTCAAAACTAGACGTCTGCTAAAAAAGTTGTAAAGGAAAATGTTTCTCAGAATTCCATAAAGAATCTATTGGTGTAGGCTTATTATTATTATTATTATTACTATTATATTTATGTATACAGCTGGGACGAAATGAAGTAAGCGGCTAATAAAATTCCGTTAATACGGATTTAATATTTCTCAATTGATTCTAAAGTTAATAAAAATACCATCGATAAAAATACCTTTTAGATATAAACGATTTAATATGGAAATCGCATTTACAAACTCAGGTTGTAATGCTTTTGGACTTTATATGCATAGGTATATTGTAATATTGTTAGATCAAGGAAAAATTCAAAGTGTGTTAAATTAATTATTTAAATAATTTTTGTTCTATTTTGTTTCAGGGGGCTCTAAATCGTCACAAACTTGAGAATGTACTCCTTCCAAATATCGCCTAACTTCCTTGCAACATTCGATAATAATATAAAATTTAATTTCAAAAATTAATATTGTTCCAGGTGAGTAATTATCAACTGCAGGCATATACCTTGTTACACATTAATTAGGTGTCTATGTATATTAAAATATGTGTGCATACATTAGAAAAAAAAAACAAAAAGTTAATACGTAATAAATAAGTTGGAGAAGAAGCTGCACTTTCAAAACCGGCTTGATGTTCTTGGCTGCTGTTTTATTGGAAAAATTAATATTTATTATACGTGATGATGTGGAATTCATTAGAAAGGTTCAAATCTGTTGAAAAATCCGTTCAAATGGAACTTTCTACTCCGGTGATGAGGATCATCCTTATTTATGAATGTTCTACTCTACTTATTTCCGGATTTGTAATTACATTCAGAACCATTAAATAAGTAATCAATGGATTAATTAATTGAGATTGTCAGTCGTTAAAATAAAAATAATAAAAAAAATCTGGATTCCATTTTTTAGCTTGGTAGTGTGCTTTAAAACATGAAAATTCAGTAAACGTTTGTATGTCTGAAAGTTTGCCGTTTTCCAGAAAAACGTTGAACGTATAGGTAAAATCAATTCCGGTCCTGGTAAAGAAAAGTGGCCCGCAACGCTGCACTCAATCAGTCAGTGATTAAGATTTAAAGTGTTTCATCCTTTAGTAGTTAAATCTTGTAGTTCAGTAAACTACTTCAGCAATACAACAACAATCATTACTGTAGGTCAGTTGTTTTAACAATAATGTGACATACGTTTCGACCTTATAGCCACTTTAGGGACGAAATCCTCGATTTCAAAGAAGACAATCCCCAAAACAGCACACGCGAAATAGTAATTTGAGTTCCTCGTTCATTTTCTTTCTCGTAATGTTAGTGTGAATCGATTTTATTCTATTTATTGTCGTTTTTCTTTCTTTGTGCTCGTATATTTACATAGTGCTGTCTGTAATGTACTTATTTAATATATTTAGTCTAAACAACAGTACACGTTGCATTAAATTATTAACGTTTATCTTAGATATTCGATAATCGGCATTGTTTACATCCTCTATCCGTGTAGCTGTAGAGTTCTTATCGCTCTACGTTATTCAGTAGACGTCCTATGATGCGAATTCACGCACAGGGCCGGCTTCGGATTGTAAATTATTGTGATTTTATTCAAAATTTTTTTTTAATTGTCTTACCTTCACTTCTATATCTTTTAGCAAATAATCGTAAAAGAAAATAAATAGTGGCTCACTTTTGACCTCTAAATTATGTCGCAATGATTTGCGCACAATTCCGATTTTACTACCTGTTTATTTATACTAATGTTAGACAAACAATTGCCCATTTTATATTCGCATTAGCACGCGAAATTGTCTATGTATTTATCTTTGTATAAGAACAAAAAAGAAATAAATAAACGATAGCAATATTAGTATTATTTAACTTGGTTGGTATAATTTTATGTGAATTTAACAATTTCATGGTATAAGTTTTGTAAAAAAGAAAAAAATGCACCATTAGAGTGTTTCAATTTGGAAATAGAATATCACAAATTTACTACATTTGACTGTTCATGCGTCGCCATATATATCGGACAGTGTGGTCTAATTCTGAAAATAAGAATTAAAGAACATGAACAGCGTCGATTGATTTCTATTTCGCCTTAACTGATGGAAAATGGCCAACAGTATTTATAGATTGGGAGACGAGGCGCAAATAGACGTAAATCTACTTAGTAAAAATGCCGGTCCTTCAGTCCGCATGGGCGTTCCGTTTCCGCACCGTTTCGATGCGTGTGGGCTTACCTTTAGGTGTAAAAACATTTTGTTTTCTTTACGTTCGTGTAGTCTTTTGTTTATGCAATGTTTATTGTACATAGATATGTTGCTGCCAAGTATTTTATTTATTTCTTTTACGTACGGATAGGTGATTTGATTCGAGAGACGTATTGGTTTTCCTGTTCTTCGATGACGTATGAATGTGTAGACATGTTTTCCGATAAGTGTGTACAATAATTGTTAATTACGTTGATAAATTCGCGCCTCTCTAAAATTAAAGCAGAATGACCTTGCCTGACCGGGTGATGATCTCTCCACGTCTTCATCTTCTTCTCCTCTTTCTACGTTCAATATAATTTTTCATTCGCGTTCCGCGCCATAGATATTAATAAAACTATTTTTAGATGAACTCACAATCATCAGTCCTGCTCTGTGTCTCTCTCTTTATCGTAGCAGGGAGCACACATCCGGTTTATAACGTTATTGATGACATACATAACGATCCTACAATTTTACACACGAATATGCTAAATATACTTGCACGTGACCGTAGTATCCTCTCACTTGATGAGTAGTTTAAAATTTACTATCAAAAAAGATGATATCATTTTGAAAGCAGGAACATAATGCATATATATGTATAGAGTCAATGGGTTACGGTGAGGGTAATTTTAAATGGAGTTTACTTTTGAACAGCTCTATAAATCATCTGCAATTGCTTGATCCAGTTTTTAGGTTGAACTGACTGATTATAATTTTTATGAGCGTTTTTAAAAGTATTTCCAATTTAGCGTCAGCGATACTATACAAAGTGTTCTCAAACTGGGTTTTTTTATGGTCGAACCTTTAGTCATAATTCTCAACTTCTTCCCAGTCGATGGTGAACTACCTACTAGTAAATTTTACGAGTATGTTTAAAACTTATTCCAATTATTAAACGGTTGAAAGTGTTTTTTATGGTCATACTAGTAATTATATTTTTTAACAGTTCTGCCACCTTTTTATACGAAATAATTTTATGAGACTGTTTGAAATTTATTCTACTATAGTTTAGCGTCAACAACTTTACTAAGTTCTACTAAGTGGTTTTATCACAGCTTTTAGGATGGACCAGTGGTAAATTTAATGATGGTTTACTGAAGGTTTTTCCAATTTAGCGCCAACCTTAATAATTACAATTTCTAACGCCTTTTTATGAAGTGATTGTTAATTTTATGACTGTTTAGAACTTGTTTCAGTTTAGCGTTAACAATTTTACTGATTGTAAGTTGTAATGTATTTTTATGGTCGTGTTTGTACTCAAACTTTTTAACGTCTTCGGAATTTTTTTAGATGAACTGTTTGTATTTTTTATGATGGCATTTAAAACGTATGAAGAATCTTACTATATATAGTTTACTGTTCAACATAATTGTCTTCATTGTCTATTTTTTCTTTTATGGTTCCCACTAGTTTCTGTGATTGAAAATGAACTAATTATTGCACTGTTTATTATATAGATCATACTACTACACTAATACAGTAGTTATAAGGACATGGTAGATGTAACAAAATTTCATTGTTCTATTAATTCTTTTGTTATTATTTATAACACTATGGTTATCGTTGTTTTATATTGTCTCACAAAATACAGCGGAACATTACTTATTGATTATTTTATTGAAATGCAACAATTATTTATTAAAAAAGTGTATCGAAGGATAATAATAATAATAATGAATTTTTCCAAAAAACCATCACCAAGGACAAAATTGCATTCTATACTATAGGGTTGTTCGGAAAGTCATTTCGTTTTTTCCCGACAGAGGATTTAATTGTATTCTTTTGCACCCAACTTCACAATTAAGCCGTATAATTTTTATTTGCTTTGAGAGCTCATATAGCAAGGCTTGTGTGAAAAATTCCAATTAATTCTACGCAGTAGTTTTTGGTTGGTGCCCTTTTAAATCTGGAGAGCGATAAGCAGCATTTTCGACATATCTTACTGTTTTACTACAGAAAGGGTAAAAATGCTGTTCAAGCCAGAAAGAAATTGACTGATGTGTATGGAGAAGGTGTGTTGACAGTACGCCAGTGCCAGAACTGGTTCGCTAAATTTCGATCTCGGCAATTTTGATGTCGAAGATGCACCACGTTCGGGAAGGCCGGTCAAAGAGATATTCCATGAATGCCTTCTAAGGCTTTAACTGAAGAGAGCCCGAAAAATTCTAAACCCCTTGGAAATGGATAATCTAAAATATTGAATCGATATTGTTTTCCTGGTTCAATGTCATGGTCCATGGAATTTTGCAGTTCCAAATTGATATCAGCACCTGCCAAATCACCACTTATTGTACCTTTAGCTAGGAACTACAAAATTCTATGGATTATGACAAAACAGCCCCCAAAACAATATCTAAATGATATACGCCAGCTCCGTAAAACTGAAAACTGATGAACCCAAAGCTAAAGAAACAAAGTGGGGTTGTAAATATTTTGATATAAAATGATTGGTGTTGATTTTACATCAATAAAATTATTTAGAACCCTATTTTGGCTTTGATCTTTCACGCTAAACAAACTATTTTGACATAGTGTCTTTTTTCCTATTACAACGGGCAGCAAAGGCAAATACGGAAGCATATAGAAGAATTATTTGTTGCTGAACTGAAGAAACTATAACATAAAGATCGAAAAACTGTATCTTAATTACTTCAAAAAGAAGAATATAAATCATACTCAATCTTCGCAGTTGACGATATAGTTCAAACACCACTATTAGTCTAGAAAAACTCCACATCGAAGATGGAAGAACTTCTGAAGAATCTCGCTACTCGTGATAACGAAACGTTAGGAAGCTACTTCAACCTCCAACGGTCTGCTTCTCCTGAAGGAATGGTCTCCAATGTTCATGAAATGTAGTTGTGTTCTGGCAATGAGTAGTGAAAGAAATGACTTCAACTGCTAAATAATTGCAGTTGTTTTTGTGCCAAAGAATAACGCAAGTTGGCAAATGAAGTTGTAAAAGTGTGACGTCGACTTTTTCTTTTCTAATTGTAAATTTAATAAAGTGTTCAGCTGTTTGCAGCGGTCAGCTGGATTATTCAATTTTTCTCTGGCACTTGAACCCAAAACATCATTCACACACGGATCCTACACCGGAATTCGTTCAGCACACTTTTTTTTTTGTTTCGTTTCATTTCAAGCACAGTTTTAATTCAAGGCCGCCATATTGATGATATAATCCACGATTTCACCGTAAAAAAGATTTTTTAACGTGAATCTTGTAAAGCATGCTGTCATTGATAATTTTATCTAATGTAGTAGTTAACGTAGAAGGATATTAATTTACGGAAGATGAGTTGATGACTGAACACGCTTTTTTTTTAAAAAAGAAGATTCATTAGCGTGCTTCCTTCATTATAAGGTGATTAGAACATCAAGTGGAGGTCTTTTGTTCGTGGAAGTAACTTGTTTACTATCCATAAACAAGTAAACTTTGTTTTCGAGTTCTACAACGTTCCATACTAGATTGCTAAAACCTACAATTATTTTGACAATTATAAAATTATTGTTCATTCAGTTAATTTTGTTTTTTTTTTTTTTGTTCCAGGTAGTTCTCCTTCCATGAACCATGAATATTTACACTTGGGGTAAAGGATTCGGGGGTAGATTTTTGACAAAAATTTGCGGCCTCTTTCTCCTATGGATAATTGCAGTTTTGGCAATATTCCAGCTTCGAACTATCCCTTTGGATGTCAATGTGCCACATTTAAATAGTAGATATCTTTTACAGAAACGTTTAGACTTACTAACAAAGCATGCAGATTCGTCTACAACTGAGTCGATAGATTTAGAACCGTTTGTAGATAAAAGTCCAAGTCTTTCCGAAGACAAACTCGTCGAGGAGATCCAGTATCGCATGCCAAACATCCCCATAGTCTATTGGAACCAAAACAAGAACAAACCCATGGGATTCAACAACACTTGTGCCTTGTTCCCTAGCATGTTCGATCTGGAATACAACAATATTTACTGGCAAACCTTGAGGACTAGTAACGGTACTTTTCAGCTTTTAGGTGCGTATTTAGACGTGCGGCCCAATAATCGTTTGGGTCCAACGGTCAGAATTCTGGGCATGATCGATAGGATCGAACCAACCGTAACAACCTACTGTCAATTATGGTTCGATAAACGTAAGGAACCAGTGGTTGTAAAAACCTTCGAATACAAATACATCTGGTACAAGAAATGGGGCAACTACAAGCAGGGCATTTATCAACCATATCTGATAGCGTGTCCCATTCCTAGTCCCTTCAAGGATAAAATCCCTCAGTCGGTTTCAGTGGTTGAGAAGTTCTGCGACACTTCAACCACCAACCTGAGGGTAATCTACAACAAGCCAGAAGAGAAAAAAGACTTTGCAGTTTGTGTCAAGGGTCTCGACTTCCTTCACGAAGATCTATCTGTCCGATTGGTGGAGTGGATCGAACTGTTGAATCTTCTTGGAGCCGACAAGATATTCTTCTACGAACTCCAAGTCCATCCGAACATCAGTAAGGTACTGAAGCATTATCAGAAAGAGGGCAAGGTTGACGTGACCCCAATCAATTTGGCCGGCGGTCAGCCGAACGGACCGGCATTTCAACATCTCTATCTGACCAAGAAGACCAATCATAAAAGACAAAACGAAGTGGTGCCTTACAACGACTGTTTTTACAAACACATGTACGAATACAAGTACATTGCCCTGCTCGATATCGATGAGGTCATAATGCCTGTTGAGGGAACCTCGTGGAAGGGACTGATGGACAAAGTTGTGCGAAAGGGACTGAAGAATAACGAAGAACCCGCGTCTTACAATGTCAGAAATGTTTATTTCTTGGACGATCTGCTTCATGACCACGGATGGTTTAAAGATATTCCTAAATATATGCATATGTTGCAGCACGTGTACAGGACGAAGAACTTCACAAAACCCGGACAGTACGTGAAGTGTTTTCACAACACGGAGAGAGTTTTGGTCCTCCACAATCATTTCCCTCTGGCTTGTTTGGGCGGAGCTTGTAGATCTTACGCCATAGAGACGTCGGACGCCCAGATGCACCATTACAGGGCCGATTGTGTGAAAACGCTTTCAAAGGCGTGTAACGACTTCAAGAAGAACAGCGTTATGGACACGACGGTTTGGAAGTTCAAGGATCCTTTAATACAACGTGCTACAACCACTTTGAGGACATTGGGGTATTTTGGGACGGGGAAAAAGCTCGACGAGGTTAGGTGAAGGTGGTGAAACCGGTACTTTTTTCTGGGAAATTTCAGTGATACAAACTAGTGCCTGCTCAGACTGATTTGCTCAACTATTAACCCACTTTGAGTTCCTCATTCATTTTCTTTTTTTCGTATGTTAGTGCGATTCGATCTTAATCTATTTATTAATTATCTGGTCTTATCAATTAGTTATTTACGAGTGTGATTAGTATTCAAGAAATCAAATGGAGTTCTGTGGAACAAAATTAAATGGAAAACTTAAACCCAAAATGCTGCATGAAAACCTTTACGAGGATCCAACATGTGGCGTATTCTAATTAAATTAAATATTCCCCTAACGAGGGGCTGTTTTGTGTAGAGGTCATCACGAAGCCACACCATAAACATATTTTGGATCTATACACGTTGGTGAAGCTATTAAATCATCCTCGTGTACGTATGTAGCACTTCAGCGCACGCAAAATTGATTTGTGACCGCCTGCAAACAAAAAGAAAACGCCGGCATTTCAGGTTGCACCAAAAGACTGTCCCTACTTACGTATAGGTTTTTGTATGACACATGTTGGGTTTTAGTGGCTCATTTTACAATTAGTATGTTAAGTGTTTTTGTGATATACCAATGTATGTTATTGTTATAGGGTCCTTTGGCTTAACCATACAATTATTTGCTATCGGTTTTAAGGGTTTTTTTGTTTGTTTCTTTTTTTTCAAACATTGTCGTTAATTTTTTCTAGATCGTAAAAAATTTGCGACCATGTCGAGTTTTCTGGTATGCTTAGCCTTTGGACCTATGCGTATTATATCATAAGGTTGCTTTAACAAGAACTGAAGATAATAAAAATAGTTTAATCCTTTTTCGTTCTAACTGAAACAGTATTTTTAATGCATTTAAAGGAAAAACATAATTCAGTAGAGTGTGTGTCTTTTTTAGTACGAAAACTGTCTTCTTTTGAATAAACACCATCCCCTTTGCCTTTCATCCCCAAAAATTAAATTGTATAACACCCATATTTGTTTATTGATTATTTCTTTTCATTTGTCTTGTTTACGTTGCTCAACTTTTTAGAAAAAAATATTGCTCATTCCTTTATTAATTGAATAATTTAATTATTGTATGTGTTAGATTCTTATTTAATTAATTAACGAATTAAAAAAATTGTTGTAAGCTGTGATAGCGTTAATCAATGCGTTTTGCGCCATTTTTGTCTCCTTCTCCTTCCCATGTACCAACGTTCTATTTTTTATTTAATTTTTATTTATTGTCGCATTCAAGTGGTCGTTAATTAAGGTGTTAGATGGATAAAAAAAAAGATGTAACCGAATATGTTTCGCTTTTTTAAATTGTAAATAAATAACAAAATGTGCCTTTTTTTGTGCTAGACCTTGTCATAGTTAAAACAAAAAAAAAAAATAAAAGACGAATATGTAATTCGTAATTATTTTAAAAATATTATTTAAAATAATCAATAAAAAATGCCTATACAATTTAATGTGTTGATTTATTTCTATGCTTTATTTAATTATAAATTACGAAATGGTGAGGTGATTTTACTAATTTATAATGTAGTTATTTTATATTACTTCATAAACATATTCTCTATCCTAGAAAATGTTCGTAATCCGCCATTTTGGTGCGCCCGCCATGTTGATATTATCATTTAGCAAATGTCTGCTGACTATTTTGGATAATTCTGAACGGTTTTGATAAGGTACTTGGAACTTTGCTAAAGATTGTAAATTAAAGAAAAATATTTATTAAACCAATTGTCATTATTTAGTGTTTAAATATATTTGACTTTGAAAAAGTCTTTATGAGATTTAGGAAGGAAATCGGACAAGGATGCATAATGTCATCCCTACTTTTTAATCTATACATCGAAGATGCGATCAATATCATTAAATACAGTACAACTGTAGGGATAGATATACAGGGGCAAAAGATTAGTAAGCTTTAAATAAAATGCAAGCGGTATTGTCAAAACAGTATTGTATGGAAATAAATAAAAGTAAAACAAAAATACCGTCACGCAAGAGAAGAAAAAATTGGGAAAGAGCGAATATACAGATAGGAGACTAAAAATTAGAAGAAGTGGCCGATTTTAGGTTTCTAGGAAGCCAGATAAGTCAGGACGGAGGGAATACTAGGGATATAAAGCAGATGATAGCGCAGGGTCGTGTTGCCTTTAATAAAAAGAAGCCACTTCTATGCTCGCGAACGATTAATTAAGAAATTCGAAAAAGATTGTTAAAAATATGTTTGGAGCACGGTCCTGTACGGGTGCGAAACATGGGCGGTGGACGCAGCGGAAAAGAAAAGGTTAGAAGTGTTCGAAATGTGGTGTTATAGGCGAATGATGAGAATACCGTGGATAGAGAAAGTTAGAAATGAAGAGGTATTAGAAAGAACAGAGGACTCTACGGAAGTCAATAAAAAATAGGCGAAACAGGCTGGTAGGATATCTTTTCAGGCATGAAGGTCTAGTCAGAGACATATTAGAAGCAGAAACAGAAGTTAAGAGGACTAGAGGTAGACCTAGATTAGATTAGATTACTGTTCGCAAATAGTTAAGGATGTGAGATGTTCTGGTATTAGGGAAATGCGAAGATTAGCTCAGGATAGCAAGGAGTGGAGGTACGTGTCCAACCAGTTTTAGGACTGACGATCTTACGATGATGAGACTTGATTAAGTAAAGTTATTTTTTGTAAAGGCCAGAAAAACCAATACAAAAAGCCGTTTTTGAACCTTAAAATTAAATTTTTTGCAGGATGTGTTTACATATGGACGCATCTTATAGGAAAACAAAAGAATCAATACAATCTCAAATTATCTTAAAAGGTATTAAAACTTCCCCTAGTTTAAAAGAAAGTTCTTACTATTATTGACGTTATTTTCACATGGAAAATTTCGAGGAAGCTGCAGATTTTCATTGGAAGCTTAACAGAAATCTGCCGAGAAAATTTTCATTTGTTCAGTGGCGACCTCAGTTACTACGATTTGAACCACACAAAAGTCAATGTTTTCTAAAAGTAGGTGAAACTCTTAGTGACGTCATATTTGTACATATTTTTGTTACTTCTATTTTAAACTTTACCATTTGATCGGAACGTTTGACGGCATTGTAAATTACAATTTTTTATTTAAGTACTTTGTCATTTTTTTATTGGCAGGCACTTTTCCGGACTTTTGAGATGGTTCTTTTTAAAGATTTATTTATGATGGGAAACCAAGAACGAGATGGGCATTTATTGTTAGTGATTTGTGGTAATACCTGGTCTAAAAATAATCACTGCTTTAATTAATTTCAGCGTTGAATAGTAGGGAATGTAAAAAAGTTCCCAGTTTAGTTTAGAACTCGTTCGTTCGCGGTTTCCGCGTTAGTTTCTTCCTCAAGGAAAATCGTGTTTTAAAAATGACGTGAACAAACTATAACTTCAGAGATACAGGCGTATATTTAGTGTTGTTACAATAAATATATTAATATGTCGAGGTATTTGGACCCGGAAGGGTTAGAGCCCTCCAAACCTAGCGCCTGTTCTAGGTTTCTACGTTACACCTGGAAAACTATAACGTGTATATTTTCTCATATATTTCTGGTTTCTTTGGTTGTGTCTTATTGCATTTTTGGCGCTAAAACATTCGAAACGTTGGAAAAAGACCATGAAATGGAGGTAAAAAAACAAATACTTCTTTATACTAATCAATTCGGCTATTGCGGCATTTTTTTTTGGCACAAACCCCCAAAGGGCGTCGATGGCCTTTTATTTTTTTAATTATTGCATTTTTGTTTTGAACAAATCCCTTTAACATTTCCGAAACAAAATAAACAAGAGAGCGAAACTTTTATGGTACCCATGACGTGAACAGTTCTGTTACACACGATACCTATCTAATGGTCTAATGGCGTAAAGTATATAATTTGTCATTAATTTTTTTTATAGTTTACGATTGACTCGTACCAATTTTATGGCACTCATACCGTTGCCCGATCGTTATTTGTATTTTCTGCGAAACGTAACTTATGAAATGTACCTAATAAAAGTTTACTCGATGATTTAATCGAAAACGTCGAGCAGATTTTCTTCTAACTTTTACGGTTGTATCATAAACGTCTGAGCACCAATTTCTCAAGTGTCCGACATTAAAATTCGCAAATCCGGCTATACAATTAAGAGAGCGAATCGAAGGGATGGAATGCGACAATTAAAACGTTAATCAATGGAGTGCTAGGTATTTGAAGCTTGCTAAGGTGTAATAAGTTGGACTTAACTAACTTTTGTGTTCTTTTGTCATAGCTCTGACATGATTTTAGCATCGGTAATGTATACTTCGTGTATATTATTCCGCAAGTGGCGCCACCCAAGAAGAACTAACAAAATTATATACGAACTTAAGAGTATATTTATACGTATAGGCTTTCCACTTACTATATCTCTCTCGATATTTTTTAGATTTTTAATTAAAAACAATTAAGAAGTGGACGGTTGCCTTATTTTTTAGCCCTTGAGTATTTTTTTCAAATACTTAGAAAATTAATACTTGCTTTCTAAATATTGTGAGACGATATAATTGAATTTTTTATATTGTGTGCTTTAGTTGTATTATTGTAGTTTATAATTCGTGGGGTAAGGTTCGCTTTATGGAGAAAAATGTTAGGGGTAGATAGGGACTGTCCCTTTGTGATTAATTTCGTCAGGAAATTCGATTTTTATCCTGTAGGCGATTACCGATATTCCCGTTTCGACGTCTTTTGTCGCTACTCGATGCTGTATCAGCAGCACTCCGGGATTTTCGAAACTATAAAAGGAAATTGACAACTGGGTCTTTTGGCCATCGCGTAAAGAAAGTTTTATGGCAAGGGTCAAAGGGAATCGAGGGCATGTACATATTGTCAAATAAGGGTTCGTAGTATTGCCATCACCACAATTACTACTGTTCTGACTACCCTTCTCTTTCTGTAACCCGCTTTCCCAAACACATACACATTACTATTGTTATTTTTTGAGTGTGTTGTTTTTTGTACGCTAAGAGTTTTCAAAGGGTTCGGTGTTTCTGTTTTGCTTGTTTGTATAATACTTTTCTTTTGTGACAGATCGTTGTATGTGTAAAAACATCCGATTAAAAAAACAATTTTTATTATGCATCTTGTGGTAGATATTTACTTGAAAATTCCAATAACAATTTTGTAAAATAATACACGGGGTGTTTCTGAAACACGTTGCGGAACTTGCACAGGGCGATAGGGCACTGCAAAACAAGAAAATTGACCATTTCCGAAAAGTATTTAAAAGTACAAACAAATGGCAATCCAACCCTGGAAAATCACGTAGATAAGCATCTACATCCATGAAAAATGTAAACAGCGACGGTTGTGGAAAGACTAATAAAGTAAATATTAACAATACAAAGGTGTAAAAATATTAAATTGTACTGAAGGAGTAGTAAATTTAGTTTGTATTGTAGTTACAGGATAGAAAACTTGAAAGTTTGGTGTCGTAAGGATAACTAAAGGTTTAATAAAGATTAGTACTACTTTGTTCATTGTTGATAACATTTAAAGTACACCTCGTCATGGTATTAAGAACACAAAAGAAAGAAAAAATTGACGTTATGTAAACTTTAATAGGTAAATTAATGTTCTCTGGATAAGTAATAGTAATTTTATTAAATTTCCAAACCGTTTTGATGTATTGCCGAGGTGGGTTACCATTTTTATCGGTGGTTGTTAGTCAATAGCCCTATCCGTCCGACATTTGACATACTTCATTTGCAGCGATCGTACGCGGTCGTGCAAATTAGCGTTTCCTTGCTATATTATCTTCTTCAAGCTTGATACTTTGTTGCATTCAGTTGACACCCTTCGTACAGAAACATCCTGTATATATATAATAATAACCAGTTACCTACATAAACATATAAATAAAGAAGCAGCTAAGGTGTGGTTAAAGAACGAGGATATTTTCTCGGAAAATGAAAGATTCATGATAGAATTCAAAACTACCCTCTGAATCATTTTGTTGTTAAAAACGTGTGATAAAATACGTTGAGGTTAACGATTAAAACAGATCGATATTTGAGAAATATCTTTCAGCAGCTTCGTGTGCCGTTGAAATTAATGAAAGGTCTCTTTACAAGTTCCTTTTCCGGAAGCTATAACTGCGTCATTTTTTACATTACGCCGTTATTAATTATCGTCCTTTAGTCTACGTGTTGTGTTTTCACGTGGCAGGTCCTTAAGCAAAGTTTCCTTCTAGAACTCATTAAAAAAGTTTCCAAATAATCGCATACGGTAACGTTAACATTCACTCGACGACTCGAGTATCTCGCAAATGACTTTTTTCACCGGTTATTTTAATAAATACCCGCATACGTGTCCGCGATGATGCACTTAGATTGGTATAGATTTTTTCAAGGAAGATAGTCGTTAATTTCATGCTTTGTAGGTGAAAAAAAATACCAACAGCTTCAGGGAAAACATCGTCTATAAAGCCGTAATATTACAGCGCAAGAGGCGCCATCTAACAAAATTGTTTTAATAATATTGGGATCCGTCAAATGGGCATACACCATCTGGTGGCAAAATTTATAACTCGAATGAGGGAAAAATTTACATAGGAACTGTGCACGCAAATTGTAAAATTGTTTATTAAAATAATAAAACACGTTAAAAAAGTANATTACTAATTACTAATTAGTAACCTACTTTTTTAATGCAACTGATTTTAAGTAGGGACAATCTCTACGATTAATCCAAAATTTCATTTTATTTTTAAAATGCACCACCCTGGGATCCGTCAAATGGGCATACACCACCTGGTAGCAAAACTCATAACTAAAATGAGGGATAAATATCCGAGGGAATGGTATACATAAATCATAAAATTGTTTATTAAAATAATAAAACACGTTAAAAAAGTAAAAATTTTTCTGATGATGGAGTCGACGAAGTTTTCTTCTAAAGTTAAATCAAATAAAAAGTTAATATCTTCAGTGAAAAGCTGCAATAGCACTTCAGACATAGATCTTCACTCTTCACCTACATTAACTAAGTACTTTCCAATAAAAACTAACTGTTTTATATATGTAAAAAATATATTCGGAAAATTAGAGAAAAAAGTAAACTAATAGAAGCTTGGATGAAAGCAGTAGGTATCAAAGAAGTGAATTCCGGAATAAAAATTTGTTCACGTCATTTTAATGCACATGATTATATTTCAGCAAGTATTTACCATCAGCCATAACCTTAATATTTAAAACTAGAATCATACTAAAATTATAAAGTG